TGGCCTCTGGTACCTTTCTGCCTCCACCACTTCAGGCAGGTGTCTTACATGTACTCTACTGGTAGCTCTTCCTGCAGGATTTCTTCTTCCTGCTTCTGAAATGACTTTTATACCCTGTGGAACAGCAAAACTGACCAAGGCCTGAGTTAAAACTCTTTATACCTTATTTGTATGCTCCCAACCCATCACTTGGTGGAAGTTACAAATACTGTGGATAGAAGAACCATACCAAGTGATTTCACTTCACCACAAGTCCTGTTAGTCATCCACAGTTTTGTAACGATTGGGTGGGACTAAGCAAACAAGGCGCTCACTTGTGGCCACCAAGGGATTAGACAGCCTGCTAATTTATGTAAGCAAGGTGTATGGAAGCCTGGCAGGGGTGAGACCAGGGAAATAAGGTGTATAAAATCCTAACAAGGGGGAGGTGGGTCAGTTTTGTCATCTCTCTAACCCACTCACTCCCAGACTTTAAAAGTAAGTCAATCCAGAGCAGAGTCGAATCCTCACTACCAACAAAAAGAAGCAGCAGTACATCTTTGTGGGCCAGGTACCTGCACTGAGAGCCTTCTAGACACAGGAAACAGCGAAAGAGAGAGGTGTAACCAAGACAGTATGAAGTAGTGAGAAACAGTGGCAGAGAAATGGCAACAGCAAAACCAAGAGACCAGCTTGCGGCAGTGGGAAGGGCTTCTCAATCCCTGGAGCAAGACATGTGCCAACCCATGACTCATGGGGTGAGAGAGCTCGGAGCCTGCAGGCCAGGCGGGAGTGGAGTACTGTATCTCTGGGAGCTTACAGGCTATGCGGAAGAGCTTTGTTAATACTTGCAGCAAAGAAGGCTGAGGGAGGAGGTCTCCTGAGGGGACCTCCTGGGCTGAGAGGAGCTAAGAGAGCTGCCCTGCATGGGAAAAAGGAGATTTTGCCTACATGCTTCCTGATCCTGATCCCAAGTAGAGCTTATTGATACTGATCCTGAAATGTAACCTGTCATTTCCCAAACAACGCCCCCTAAACAGGGACATGGGCTGTGAATGCTGTGGGGTCACTGAATCAAATTATGAAAGACAGCAAAGCAGGGAAGAGTGCACTACTAGGCAGGATGAATGGTGTAAGAATTGGGAACGAGTTTGGAGGGAGGCTGCCTGGCTGACCTCTGCCCCACAGACATCAGCCTTGGGCTGATGATGCTGGTAGTGATTCTCCTGTCTCGGGAAATGAGATGAGGCCAGGCATTCTCACGTGATTTGTGCATGCCCTCAAACAAGATAATTTATTTAAAAGTGCAAAGGGCTTGGAATTTTAAAAAAATTAATATGAATTAGCAAGACATTTTCAATGAAATCCAAAGAGAGAATACAAACTCCTTACTTTACAGGTCAGAAATTCCAAACCATGGGAGGGAGGGGCCCACCTGACTTGCCCAACCTGCCGTCTTTATGATCTTACCCAGAATAGCTAGAGCTCCAAGGAGGCCATTCCCCAAACCTATCTGGCAGCAAAAGCCCACATCAGGCACCATTCCTTTAAACCAAAGCGTTATCTCTTTCTGTGTTCCAAGGATTACCAGGGCAGTGGATGACAGTAGGAAAGGGTGATGGGACAGACGATTAGGTCCTAATTCAGGTTAAAGAGAAAGAAAAAAACAAAAACAAACACCATTTCATCAAACCAACTCCAGAGAGCACCCATATAGTTGAGTTGGTCCATGAGTCGTTATTTATTTGTTGGGCATCCCTGGCCTAGTGCACACTTTAATACCTCTGGCTGCTAACCTAAAGTGGGGACGCTTGAATCCACCTTGGGAAAAAAGGCCTGAAGCTCAGATTGGGAAATCTCTCCAGGGCTCAGTTCCCCTGAACTACAAGGGCTCACCACAAACTAAGAGTGGATTCATGGGAAACTGATTGCTGTTTGTTTGTTTTTAACTCAATGAGAACAGACCTATGTGTTTCTCAGTGAGAAAGCTTTCCTCCAGTAATAGAACAGCCAGCCATTTCTTTTCTTATCAGATGGAGTAGTTGCCTAGAATTTAAAGGGTAGGTTGTACCCACAACACTTATCTGTAAACACTGGGCTAGTCCGCTGGAGGCCCAGCCTAAAATGCAGACTCTTAGAAAGACCCCTCAGGGCATGAAAGTGAGTTAGAAAGCCAGAGTCCAGTCTCCCTGGTTATTCTGATCCAGGAACTTCTCCTGGCATAGGACAGCTGGTTTCATGCATTATTTAACTCCCAGTCCCGGATTTTGCCTGGAAGCAGAAATGAATCTGTGCCACGAAATGTGTGTAAGATACCATTCCACTATATGGAACTGCCATGCAGTTGATTCCTACTCACAGTGACCTTGTAAGGCAAAACAGGGCTGTCCCTTTGGGTTCTAAAACTAAATCTTGACAGGAGCAGATAACCTCATTTTCTCCCAGGGTGGGAACAAATCACTGACCTTGTGGTTAGCAAAATGCACAGTCTACTATGCCATCCAGGCTCCTTCCTCAGTGTGCTCACTGCCACCAAGTCAGGTCCAACGCATACCAGCCCTACAGGACAGAGGAGACCCGTTCCTGTGGGTTTCCCAGACCGGAAATCTTGATGAGAGTGCAAGGCCTCCTATTTCTCCCATGGAGCAGCTGGTACGTAGTTTCACATGGCTGACTCCAAGGTTAAAAGCCCAGTCTATAACCATTACATTACCTGGGCTCCTTCTCCACTCAAAAACAAACAAACAAACAAACCTCGCTGCCATCAGGTTGATTCTGGCCCACAGCGACCCTATAAGGCAGTACAGAATTGCCCTGTGGGTTTCAGAAACTGTGACTCTTTGTGAAGGTAGAAAGCCTCATCTTTCTTCAGCGGAGCGGCTGGTGGTTTCAAAGTGCTGACCTTGTGGCTAGCAGCCCAATGTACTAGGGGGCTTCAGAAAATTCATAGGAAAAATCCATTATCTTTTAATCCCATTTTACCACAAGCTTTTACAAGTCCCCTATTTTCATAATTTGCCTATGGATAGAATTCTCTGAGTTAGAAACCGGAAGGGAAAGTTTTGCTGGAGAAGGTAGATAAAGTTGTGAGCACAGACCCGGAAGCAAAGGGTGGGTAAAGTAGATGGGCAGAGCAGTCTGGGGACTCCTGGCTAAGTGGAATAGGGAGGACATAGCTTACCACGGTTTTCACATCTAATGTGAACACATACAGAGCATGCACAGGAAATAATCAAGAGAGGGTCACCCCATTGGCAAATGGTGTAGCATGTGCCCTATTTGCATAAAATATGGTAGTTCCAAAAATAATTTTCAGCTTGTTCACAGTGTTTCCTTGGATACTGGACTTGAGACCCATTTTAACCACCACATTTTATTGACTTATTTAATTTGGAAAGCTTACACTGTCAAGTTCACAACTACAGAATTAATACTGAGTGAAATTAACCAAGAGAATACTTTTCAATACAGACGTGACCATGAACAAACGGCCTTACAGCAGAAATAGTGAAAGCAGCACTCGCCCAGTGTGCTCTGCCAGCTCAGTGCTCCAGGCAGCAGGAAAGTAGACCATCGTCCTCGCTTTCAGACAAGCCACAAAGAACCATGTGGGAAAAACTGCAGGGGGATATGGTGACTGTGAACAGAGACCTGTCTTCGGATCACATTCTAAAAGAAGGGCTGCATTTAGTAGAAAGTTTTCCTGCCTCTGAGAAGGGAAAAAATTACTCTTGTACTAATATAACTCCCATATTCATATAGACAGTTCCTCCTGTAAGTATACATTATCTTAATTCCAGGCAGATACAAATCTGTTTCCAGAAGAATGTTTGGATGCACTCCATTACCAGGATCATGCTAAAGAAAACCCAAGTCCACGAGCTTGCACACTGTGATTGTTGGTGGCCATGATGAATGGTCTAGATTGGCGATATGGAGTTCCCCCATCAGGTCCGCTCTCAGGACACCACGCATTTTCACAACTTGACCACACAAAAGAACGCCCAGGCTGCACCTGCCTCTCCCATGGCAAGTACAGCAAGCACTGCCTGGCTCGGGCGCCCTTTCAGCAGACTGTATATGTACAAACACAGGTGTCTGTCTGCAATGCTATCTTTGTGAACTTTGCAATGAAAGCGCCAAAGAACAGCAGCCATCTCCACACTCCATTCATTGTCTCAATCGGGAACTGTGCTCCAGGAGACCACAAAAGAGGAGGGGAGAAAAACCCCACCAACATACACATAAATGGTGTACATACATACGTCCATTAAACACGTCAGCGTGAGCACACAATACTTGTATTGATAAGTGGAAAAAAATTTAAACCACGGGGCACCAGAAATAAAAACGCCCAATCCACCTTAATTAGGCTTCCTTCATTAGTCGACGATGTGAGATTAAAACTACTAATCGAATGTTCAAACCTTCATGGCAAGTGGCTTCCAGCAAATGATAAAGCAATATTACCAAGTGTGAAAGACGGCATTCTGGCCCAATTTAAAGGGGGCGTCGGATTCCAAGAGTCGCTGCTTAGTGTCATCTCCAGCCTTTTCTTTTTTATTAAAGGAGTGGGCTCGCCCTACATAAATTAATCGTGAACGGTGTAAACGTTTGAAAATAGCTGGCACCCTGAATCTCAGACTTTGGAAAAATGACTCCTCTACCAAGGTGCCGCGACGACGGTATCATTTAAAAGAATAAAGATGCTCACAACTAGGCAGAACCCACCGCCGAGCCGCTGCCTGCGTCCCCGTGCAAGTTGCCAGCTGCAGGCGGCGAAGTTAAAGCCAGTCCTCTCCCCACCGAAGCCGTGAGCCGGCCTCCTGGGGAAGCCACCCAGTTCGCCCGCTCCCTGGGGATGGGTTCGACGGGACCGCGATCGGACTGGCTGGGGAGACCCAGCCCCGGGCGGCTCGCCTCTTCCAACGCAGGCACCAAGTTAGACACGCAACTCCGCGAACACAAGGACGCGAAGGCAACACAAAAGGTGCACGCGAGGCAGCCGCTCCCATCCTTACCTTTGACTTGACTTTCATACTCGGCGATGATCTCTTTGTCCTTCTTGAATCGGCTCGGCGTAGACATTATCCAGCTGTGGGGGGCTTGCTGGCGCCCGGTCGGCAAGTTGGATGCAGCGGTCCCACACGAGGCTCCCCGAGAGGAAGAGTTGTCCTCCCACACGGCGGCCGGGAAGCCGGCAGCAACGAGGGCAGGAGGCAA